TTTCTTCTTTTCATTTACAAATTCCCAGAGACCATTCTCTTCCTTTTCTAACCAGCAAAAATAACTACCTTGGAATCGCCTTCTATGATTAGATTGTGGATATTTAATTCCTTTGCCCTTTTTAACCCTTCTAAAGAAGCCAAGATCTCAGCCCTGAGAGAATCACCAACTTACTCAGAGAATATAGCCAACACCTGTCCTTCCTCATTCCTGAATACATCTCCAATACCTGATGGCCCGGGTTGCCTTCACTGCTTCATCAAAGTTTAACTTTATGAACCCTTCAGCTAGTGGAGACCACAAGGGATTAGAGACAGCTTTCCTAGGTGCAGATTTGGCCACTTCCTCCCAATTATTAATCAGCAGCCCTGTTGGAATATCCTCAAACATTTTCAAGGATTTCACCCACTGAAGCACTCTAACTGTAACAACCTCCAGAATTGCACTTAAGCTCCATTCCTTATCTAGGAAAACCCTTTGATTCCTTTCTTCCCACATTGTCCAGCATATAGCAGCTCTGGTGCATCTCCAAGGTACTTTACCCCTTCTCTTCATCCCACTTAAAACCGAAGAGACAAACAAGCTTTGTAAGTCCGGGAGAGGAGTCTACCTACAACCAAACAAAGAAGCAAACCAATTCCAAATAGATAGGACAAACAGACAAGAAATTAATAAGTAGTAACAGCTCTCACCATTGGCCTTGCACAGAAATGCACCAGTTGAGAGACAAGCACCAAGAAGGTCTTTTTCTTTGAAGCAAATGACAAGTGTTGATTTTCCCCAAGAGAGCTTCCCAACAGAAGGCCCCTATTCTCGGAGGAATTGGCTTTCCCCACACTTCTTTAACAGGAAAAGGCAGCCCAAAATTGGCGGAAAGTTGGTTCAAGACTCTAAAGAAAGAGGCACAAGAGAAGGAACCAGAGGGGACTAAAATCCATATTCTACCATCAGGTTTTGAAGGGTCCAAGAAGACTTCTTGAAGTAGGGTGAGCAGGCCCAACACATGGTCTAGTTCTAAATCTCTAATCCCTCTCCTAAAGCCCAAATCCCAATCAAACCCTGAAGTTGAGACAGAGGGAATCAAGAGAGAAAACACTGAGTCATCCTTAAAACTTGAGATAGAGAACAAAGAATGAAATTGATTAGTTCTCAGTCTTGAATGAGATTGTAATCTGAGGTGGCCCTAGGCAGCCTCTAATGGCCTAGGCTCCATTGTATTGTTCTTTGATTTAATAAAATACTTTACCTTCTACAAACAAAGAAGGCAATTGAACTTTCAATCATGACTCACCCACCCAAACATGTTCCCAGAATTTAACAAGGTCCCTTGAGCAAAGATTGTACCTGTCGAATGGTAGGAAAAGAGGACGAACAGCAGGTATAGACCTCCAAGGAGAAGCATTTTTAGCTCAAGCCAGCACTCCAGCATCCCAACCATCAGCCGACAACCCATGAATGCTAAAAACAGCCTTAGTCCACAATTTCTCCTTGTCCAAAGGCAGCCTCCACAACCACTTCCCAAATGGAGCTTGGTTTCTCTTCTGAATACTCCCTAAACCTAGACCACCATTAGCTTTACTCTTGCAAACTAAGTCCCAACTGACCCTATGGTCCTTCCTTTGCTCCCCAGACTCCCACAAAAAACCTCTCATTAACTTTTCTAGTCTTTTGCTCACACCCACTAGAATTTTAAAAACATGTAGGAAAGACACCGGCATATTTGCCAAAGTGGACCTAATCAAAGTGAATCTCCCTCCCAAAAATAAGTAAATTTTCTTCCAAGTGCTCATCCTTCTTTTGGATGTGTTTAGAATTGTCATATCATAAGCTACTGCATTTTTCTATCAATAACTAAAGCTTTCATTAATTAAAGAAAGATAAGAGAAATACAACACACTTGGAGATAAAACGGCTCATCTCCAAGATCAAAAATAACAAATGAGCCTAAAACAATTGAGGTCTCTCAACCCCTTGATTTTCCAAAGCATCAACCATGCCATTAGTCATCCTTTGGACCCAATGGATTCTCATAAGCTACTACAAATGCTAAGATTGTATTTCCTATTTTATTCCTCTCCCTAAATGCAAATCCTTTATGCACCATTTCATATCTTGCACTTCTTTTCCCCACATGCCCATTTAAGTCACCTATAAAAATCTTATTTTCATTGGAGTTTCTTGGATTAATTTTTCTAAATTTTCCCAACATTGTTTTTAATGTTTTCTTCTAAACCCATTTGAGGTGCATATGCACTAATAATGTTAATGATTTCTTCACCTAAAACAAGTCTAATTATAATTATTCTATCTCCAATTCTTTTAACATTTACAATTTCACTTATTAAATCCTTATTTACTAATATTGCTACTCCATTTCTATTATTTACTTCTCCCGTGTACCATAACTTGTATCCATCAATTTCCTTAGCTTTTTTTACCCTTCCATTTAGTTTCTTGTAAGCATGCAGTATTATCCCTTCTCCCCTTCATAGTGTCTAGCAACTCCATAGACTTTCCTGTTAATATTCCAACATTCCTAGTGGCTAAATGAAGTTATACCTCTTGGACTAGCTTCTTTACCTGGCATCTATCCAGGGATGCAAGAACCCTTGCCTATTTAACACCCAACCAGGCATTATTGTCGTAGGACATTTACAAGGACCGTCCTAGCAAACCCTTACCCATTCAACACTACAATCAGGTTAGGATGTAGTGCATCATTTCCGAAGAACGCCCTACTACCCTAGCATAAGCACAAAAAGACAAACCAGGATCCATGTTCATGAGAGTTTAGGAAAAGATCTAGTGTCGTTTGCCAACCTGATGCATCCCTCATTCATCTAGGCTTGGGAACAGTGGTATAAGACAATCTCACAATTCAAGCACGTGAAACTTTCAATCTCTTTATTTCTTTCCCGATTGCATTACTCTAATTCTGATTAATTTGTGATTATTTTCACTTCTAAGTTTAGATTTATGAAAATTGTGGGAACTAATTCTTTTTCAAGGTTTATAACTCATTCTAAGGATTTATTCTTTTAGCTTCAACAAAAAAAAAAAGAATCATATTTGGTTCAGAATTCATCGTTCAAACAAAGATTCTTTGGAGCAGACCCTCTGGATATCAAGGGCCCAAACGCAAACTGGCCTTATCTTCATATGAAATAAAAACAACTTTTAAACCTTCACGGAGAGAAATGGCATTAATACTTTAAAATTAAACATCTCTCAACTCTCTTCTAATCCCAAAATTCCAATTTAGGCCAGTCTTAATGGACTCACCAAAAGATAAACAGACCAACTATTGAAAAATAATAAATGGAAAAATCTAGAGAATCTGGGGAGGGGGGCCATTAATCTTCCCAAACCTGATTGTATCTTACCATATCATGTCAATTCCAAAATAAGTAAGTAAAAAAAGTAGAAAGAGACTCTATTAGCAGATTTGCATTCCATCCATTTCAGTACAAACTGTATTTGCTTATACACTCTGCAGCTCAATAGGTAAAATCCAAATGGAAGTTTTTCAAACAAGTTTAGTCTCTCAGTCTCTCTTATATACATAAGTACCTAAGTCCCCTCCATCTTCTTTGTTCACACATATATACACTACCTTCAGATTTATTAAATGATCTCTAATCGCTTCCCACAGGCCCACAGAAAGTGCAACTTGTTCTTATTCTATTCACTATCTTGATTGGAGTGCCAATTACTGATATACATAATATATACACAACGACACAACACATTATAGAATAGGCTAAATTTCTCTTAATGTCATTTTGAGAAAGAGCCAAAGTAGCTCCTAATTGTACTGTTATTATGCCCTGTTTGGGAGTGCTTATTGGATAAAAAAATGTGCTTATAGGATAAGCACTTTCTCAAAAAAAAGTGTGATAACTGATTATTAATAAGTGCTTATGAGTGTTGGCTGAATAAGCACTTCTTTCAAACAGAGGTAGTATAGATATTTTGAAAATTACGTGGTGGGCCAAGATGGGCCACAAACTTAATAAGCACTTATTGAAAAAGCACTTAAAAATAAGACAAATATTTGGCTTCTTCAAAACAGGCTTATTTTCTGGAATAAGCACTTATTTCAGCTTTTTTCCCATATGCACATAAGTGCTTATTGGTGCAGTCCCGGCCAAAATAAATGCTTATTTGAACAAGTACTTAAAAGTAAGTACTCCCAAATGGGGGCTATCCCTATCAAAGAAATAAGAATCATTATGTAAGGTATGACCGTGAAAAGAGGACGAAGCTGGGCTACAAGAAAAATTCGGGCCCCTACCATAGTAACAGCACGTACAACAGTTGAAATAGGAGAAGGTCCTTCCATGGCATCAGGTAACCATACATGAAGGGGGAATTGTGCAGATTTAGCAATTGACCTAGGATTGCCTCAGTGGAAGACCTAGATACCTCAAAGTTAAACCTTCAAGGTGTAGATTATGCCGATTCCCACCTACCCTACCAGGAAAAGATGGCAGCATATTTCTACAAGTATCTGGAAGGTCACCTTTTTGTCCTCCTTTTTGGTTAACCACCATGGTCATTATTATCTAGCATAAGCAAAGTGCAAACATAAACCATCTCCAGGGCAGCAATAGCAGTTACATGTGTTTAACGTCGAGATTCAACAGTCACCAATTGTTCTTACATCGAAAATGAGAAAGAAGAAATATAAGCGGAGCCCATCCTCGCTTTACACCCAAAATATTACAAACAAACAAAAGAAATGCCTCTCCATGCAACATGCCATTAACAAATACACAGCATGACAGCACGAATTAAAACAAATTAAGATTATGTAAGACGGATCTAAGGAAGCAAGAACATTAGTGCCAAGATGAATGTCAATCACCACTAGAACTAATAAGAGAAATTACAAACAATCATCGTTGATCAGTAAGATTGCCGGAAGAGACGACTAATCCAAAGCCTAGGGGGCGAACCATAGTTAAAACAGAAAGTTTGAGAAAGAAAGAGAAACTCACTATCGCGGCTAATTTGCTTGAAGTTCTTGTACTCTCCATGAGAGGACGTATCAGAATCCGACATTGACATGATTGAAGCTTTGATCTGAAACTCTTCGCCGATCAATCAGTTAATCGATCTGCAAATCCAAAAATGAAAATGTCTCGAGACAATTGGAATCTTCGAAGGTAGAAAAGTTGCGTCTCGTTGCGTTGGTAGAGACTGGAAGGGGAGAAAAATTGATTTGTAAAAGGTCAGAATTGGAGGACGAGTTGACCGCCGAACATCGAACTGGTAAAAATCAGGAATTTCGCTTTCCCTCCTCCAGGAGAGACGAGCGAGAATCCACGAACTGGAGTCGCACCCAAAATCTAAACAACCCGACTTTGGAGCAATAAAAATGCTTCCATGTACAATGCACCAACTCCGTTTTCGGGATTGCTTGCGGAATTACTGTTTTACCCTTTTCGTTTTACACAATTTGGCGTTCAGCTGTACTGTTACGGGTCGGGTGGCACTTTCCAATCATTTAGCAGGTGGGTCCGAGTAAGATTTAATCCAGATCCGGGTGCATCCTAAAACGAATCCGATACGAAATCTCATTGGATTTAGGAATTTCGGATGGGATTTGGTTCTATCGAAATCGGAATTCGATTTGGATTTTAATGCAAGAATGCTTTGCTGTCTTTAATTTTTAAAAATTAAAACTAATAAGTTAAAATAATAATTAATTTTAAACTTTATATATAATAAATTTATTTAAATGTAGAGTATTGAATTTATCAGTTATAATAAATAAAATTTAATGAGATCCAAATCTTAATCAGATGGAATGGGTTAAATCTGCATCCGATCCAATCATGTAAATGGATTATCCGAATCCAGATCGGGTGTTGGATAAGGTATTGAGTTAAATTGCTGATCCGGCCCAAATTGATGGGATGACCCCTTTTTTTTTGTGTGTGTGATAGATGATGACCTTTTTACTTAAGCCCACAATTCGTGGAAGAGATAGAGAGGGGGTTCGTCCAGCGTATCTAAAAAAAAGGATTTGGGTTTCCCGATTTCATAGGATAGTTAATTAATTCGATCCCACTAGGCATGGCAATGGGGTAGATTCGGAGAGGGTTTTGTAAATTTTAGACATTATCCATCTCGCTAAACTTTCTAACCCATATGCCCTAAAATCCATAAAGGATTGGATTTGGAGAATCTTCATCATATATGAAAATACAAAACCCTTGCCATAAAAAAGTAAAACAATAAAGGGTAAATTACAAAGACTCCCCTGTACTTTGTTTTATGACAAAGACCCCCCTATACTATGACTGTGAGACAAAGACCCCCTTCCGTTAGCCTTTCATCCAAAAAGTCCGTCACAATATTTTTTAATCCCCACACAATCCTTATAATAACTAGATGAGAAAAACACTGTTCATCTTCCCTGACCTTATACTACCCTTTCGTTCCTTCACATTTCTCTCTCCCCCTCTCTCTCTTCTTCTGAAACTATTCAATAAACTATTATTCTATCACCCAAAAAGAACACGGAAATAGAATTCAAGCCAATGCTTGGCTTGGTGAATCCTGAGATCATAGAAAATCAACGGCCATATCTCATACTATCCTACATTGCTACGAAAATAGAGCAATAAAGGCTAAAGGGCAGCAGAAGAAAGCTTACCTGAACATGGCAAGTTGAGCGAGGAAGAAAGGGTAGTACCTGAGAGGGATGAGAGTGAGCTTGTACAAAACCCGATTTGCTACTCCAAGAACCACCGTAACTGCAGCAGCCATCATGACCTCAGTCGTCCAATCGCAACCACAATCACGACAAGACAACTAAGCTTCTCTTCCTCTTCCTCTTCCTCTTCCTCCTCCTCCAGCACCTGATTGATCTTCTCCTCCACATCTTCAATGCTCTTCTCATCGAGAGCGTAAGAACACGAATTCGCATTTCCCTCTCCTTTGTCGTCCGATTGGAACAAAGTCCCACCTTAGCCGTGGGATCCGACAACCCATACTACCCTCACGTGTCACGATCTTAGAGCAATCCTTTGCCGCTGTTGAAATGGAGAGAAGAACAGAGCTTGCTGTGAAGGCGAAACTATGACGTAGCAGAGAACCGAACTTGATGCCAGAGCCAGGTAGGGAGAGATTGTAGTCCTTGGTGGAACTGGAGGGAAGAGCCTCGCAGCACAGGAGCATCTCGCCGAAGGGAGGAGCCGTGGAGAGCAGACGAGGAAGAAGCAGCTAGGCATGGAAGGATACTAGGAGATGGGGTGGAAGGGTGGACTTAGCACCGTGGACCAGTCCAGCAGAGACCAATCCGGAGACTCTCCTCCTACAGCACTTGCAGAGCCGGAGCCACCTCCCCTGCAACACGCCGAAAGCTCAGTCCTCCCTCTCTTTCAGAGAAAGCTTTGATTGAAGTTGTAGAACTTCATTATGGCGGACTTCCTACGACAATTTCAGAACTTCATTGGTTGTAGTGGCCGATAAACCAGAGGAACCCAGTGACAGCGATATTTATAACTTGAAGAAAGCTTTGATAGATTCCCTCTATGGTATGGATCGAGGGTTGAGGGCCTTCAAAAACCCAACTACGACTCCCACCGAGCATTTGACTCTTCTATGGTTGGTGGGTGCGCTGCAGGTACACTTCTTTTGTGGGCTTATTCCCGTTGTTCTCGATAGGGAAGCTACCACTGGTGAAGGTGGAGGAGATATCTCAGAGCATAGACTCATCAAACTTCACAGTGGACAATGTGGTCCAGTTCGCTGGGCCCTTTGGCCACCACAACCTTGAATACCAATGCCAAGTTTGAGACCTGAAGCCCCAAGTGCGTCTAGGTAAGCTATCAAGTATTAGCAAGCAACAACCAAAATCAAATTATTTAATGTGAATGTGAATCATTCGATTTCACTTGATTCCTGAACCAGAGGTGGAATTGGGTTGGGTCCTCGTCCTTCACCTTGTAGTTTGTAACCGAGGTTGTTGTGAAGCACATTGTAGCCGATGAAGAAGAGAAGAAGCTGTTTTGTTACAGGTGAGAGAGATTTGAATGAAGTTTTGAACCAATGAACAAGTGGAGTAAAGAAGGAAAAGAAAGAGATATGGTGTTTGGTAGATGAGCAGTGTTTTTTGCCGCTGCTATTCGTGTATCTGAGGTCGGGGAAGATGAACAGTGCCTAATTGTTTGAATATTTATTACAGGGGTAGTGTGGGTATTAAAACGACAGATTTCAACGGGAAGATAATGGAAGGGGGTCTTTGTCTCATAGTCATAGTACAGGGGGGTCTTTGTCACAGACCCCATAGTACAGGGGGGTCTTTGTAATTTACCCAATAATAAAAGGAAAAATCTATGATATGGAAAAGATATGGTATGGAAATAGTTTTGACCAATCTATGATTCCAGTTAATTGATCAGATGTTTTTCGGATATCATATATTTTCCATATAATAGTCGAACCCTACAAATAAACAGTAAAATTTGTAATTATTTGATTAAGATAATAGAAAAATGTAAACTATCAATTATTTTTCACATAAATTTCAAAATATTATTAAATTCAACACCTAATATATAAACTTTATATGCTTTCTAATAATATGTCAGTCTGAAGGGTTGGATTTATCTTAATACTATACCCTACCTATATCTGTACAGGTTGTAGGATCTCAAAACCCATCCCTATTGTAGTGGAGCACAAAGCGAGAGTTTTGAGATAAGTTGACTCCATGAATGGATGCTCTTCCATGGACAATGCAAGAGAGAGAGAGAGTATTAGGCTTGTCATATATGTCCATGGGGCGCTTTGAAGTATCAAAAGTGAATTCTCAAATTTGTATGGGAGCTTTAAGTATTAAAAAATGTACGGAAGCTAAATAGAATACGGTGAAACGACCACGATGAAAATGGAATTTATTTTGATCAATAGAAATTGAAAATATAAGTTGTGATGTCATATAATCAGAAATTATTCTTTTGGACTGATCAAAATACAAATTGGTTGTTGTTACAATTTGATGTTTCAACCACAAATAAATAAACAATTCATATTTCTCATCAACTTATATTAATCAACCCCAACTACAATGGTACCAAAACACAACCATAACTCACACTGCACATCTCAACTCCATTCTTTGTGGAGGTTGAAGTAATTAAACACTTCTCTCCCCATAACGTCCCAATATTAATCCTAATTGGCAACTACTATTTTCATTGTTGTTTTTATCCGTATTCCACATGGGTGTAAATGGATCATAATGTTGCTACCTGATATGGGTCAAGGGCAATAATGTAATTATGTTTCTGCTAGTCGAAGTTTATTGTGGCTGAGGGCCTATAAATCCGATTTGTGGAGGAAGAGGCACGTCAGAAGCCCCGGATATTATCCTAGGGATGGAGACTCCGATGATTAAGCTAATGAGGAGAACGATAAGTGATCGGACAAGGCTTGAGTGGAATAGCTCATTCGAGGTCACCATGAAACTAAAGAGCCTAGAGTAATAAATGCCAAGATGGATTACCTCATAGTGATGCCTCTTCTTTATAGTTGAACTTGCCTGGAATTAGTTATGAGAAGACGACCAAGATGCACTCTGCCTAGTGCCACGCGTCGCCATCCTGGGTCTACCATGTGCACCCACACCATTGGGCCTATCATGTGCGCCTACATTAGATCAGATTATATTCCAATTGGGCTATACCTAAATTTGATTCGATAATATGAATCTTATATTATTTGGTATATTTAGATTGAATTCGAATCTATTAAGGATGCCATATGATCAAATATGATATTATCCGATCTATTTTTTGTAAAATTTAACAAATTATCAAAAGAAAAAAAAAATAATAGTGTATACAAAGAAAAACAAAAAAAAATACAAACATTCATTTTTTGGACTATATAATTCGATAGGGTGATATCTGGATCCTACAAAAAGGATTAGGTTCGGAATTGGATCGTAACAATTGCACATTAATGAGTAATGACTTTGTAAATATTCAAATATTTTACTGCATGTTTTGACAAAAATTATGTGGTTCAAGAAGAGAAAAAATTCGCAAATTCAGGCTTATCTCGTCCTTGTTTAAGACCTTGTGTTTCCTTGCACAAACCTATGAGAATTTATCAAAATTCATGGGTGGCTTTAATTTGTCATGCTGATATAAGAAAGAGAATTGGGTGGATAGTGCCCCGGGACACGTGTGGAGCAAGTTGGGATCTGATACTATAAATCTCGCTATAAGACTGGGGCCAATAAAAAATGGGATCCATCATGTATGAGATGTGCCAATGGACCACCTTGTGAATTTTGATGAATTCTTATTGATTAATGTACAACTTAACATAGAGCTTATGAGA